TGTGTGTGTGTGTGTGTGTGTGTGTGTGTGTGACAGAAATGGAGTGCTGTGTCCACTATCAACAGGGAAGTGCTGAATTACTCCATTGTACTCTCATTACAGCCACTTTTGTGTGGGAGGTGGCAGCTGTTAATCTTGGCACACTGCTGGAGTCCTTGGATTATCACATGAGCGCACGCTCACACACACATACACACAGGGTATGTGGCTCTGATAAGCTGTGGCCGGTAGCCTTTAAATTCATGAAGCAGCTACTGTTCCTCATTGTTTTGAATTGCTATCAGTTCATGTCTCCCTCTTTGACTCCTTCACATGCTCCTCTTTTGTGGCCATTGTGATAGTGGCTCCCTTTACGATCAGAAACAGAAAGGCCATTGAGTCGTCCTGCTCTGTCATGGGACAGATGAAATCGCTGTGACTCTACTGACCCTCTTCTAACTCGATGTACTGGAAAAGCCCAGGGCTGTGGTGCCATAGGGTGATGTTTGAAACCACTAATTCCTCCTTTCAACCCTTGTTGTTCTGTAGTTTTGCTGCAATTTTTAACCATTTTCCATCTTTCTCTCTTTTTTCCCCATCTTTCTCCATTTCTCTTTCTGTGCTCCTCCAGTTGAGATGTCCTGAGTCACTCCTCCAGGCCCAGAGAGCGGTGTGCTGATGGGACCGGCTGCGCCACCATGAGCTTACAAGATGGCGGTTGCAGCTACGCCATGGCCACCGCTAGTGGCAGCATGCGGCGGCGCCTGGAGGACCAGGAGTTCAGCCTGCGTGTCTACCCAGGCGCCCTGGCTGAAGGCACCATCTATTGCCCTGTCAGTGCCCGCAAGAATACAACAGCTGCTGAAGCCATCGAGTGCCTCATCGAGCGGTTGCACCTGGAGCGTACCAAATGCTACGTGTTGGCTGAGGTGAAGGAGTTCGGTGGGGAGGAATGGATCCTGAACCCCTGCGACTGTCCTGTCCAGCGGATGATGTTATGGCCGCGAAGTGCACTGGAGAATCGCAGCGGTCTGGGCAGCGGTGACGACTACCGCTTCCTACTGCGGGAGAAGAACCTGGATGGATCTATTCATTATGGGGGCAGCTTGCAGATGTGGCTGAGGGTGACTGAGGAGCGCAGGCGCATGGTGGAAAGAGGTTTCCTCCCCCAACCTGCAGGGAGCAACCCTCCGTCCGACCTGTGCGCTCTCCCAGAGCTAACTGAGCGCGCCATTTTGGAAAGCCTTCGTGCGCGTTTCCGCCAGGAGAAGATCTACACTTACATTGGGAGTATTCTTATTGTGATTAACCCGTTCCAGTTCCTGCCAATCTACAATCCTAAATATGTCAAATTGTACGACAACCATGCTCTGGGGAAGCTGGAGCCGCACATTTACGCCGTAGCAGATGTGGCGTATCATGCAATGCTGCAGCGAAGAAGAAACCAGTGCATTGTCATTTCTGGTGAAAGCGGGTCTGGGAAGACCCAGAGCACCAACTTCCTCATTCATCACCTGACGGCACTCAGCCAGAAGGGGTTCGCCAGCGGCGTGGAGCAGATCATCCTGGGAGCTGGGCCAGTGTTAGAGGTAAGAAACTCAGAGCATCTACATCTTTGTAAACATTATCCCTTAAACTCAGATATCGGCTTGTCTCAAAATCTTTGGTCAATGCAGATGAAGACTTTGAACCATTTATTGTTGTTCTATGCATTTGCTACCTGAGTGACTTCCAACTGATTGTCCAGTATTACTTTAAGAACAGGCCATTTGGGTCTAATAGCCATTTTTCCCTCTAGGAATCTTCCTAGGAACTGTTTTATTACCTCCAAGGAGACTCTTTTCACCCCTGTCAGTTGAAATATGCTTGTCTGTCTGTTAGTTAGCAAGATAATGCAAAAACTATTCCACGAAAACTTGGTGGGAGGATGGAATATGTGCCTGGGAAGAACCTTACAAACTTGGTGAGGATCCAGGACCAGATTTGTTTTTCACTTTCTTAAACATTAAAAGAAACATTTTCCATGAGATTCAGTGAATAATTTATGGATCTGGATGGAAAAAAATCATATTTAAGGACTTTATATCCATGAGAGTGTGAAATTTAGTGCATCTTGATTTAATTTAATGAGACTGCTGGGCCTTTGCAGTAGTATGCACTCTGAGTGCTTCTCTAGTTAACTTTGGAACTTAACCTGCAGGTCGTACCAGGGAAACTTGTGTATTGATTTAGTTCCTGGTCCATAATTGCTGCTCTGTCCTCAGTTAGAACTTACAGAAATGACTCATTAAAGAAAGGCTGATTTACAGCAGCTCCACATTTGTTTTCTGTGTGTTGTTAGTTCTACACACCCTCTGATTGAAAAGAGACTAAATCAACCCTCTTAGGCCCAGTAGAAGACTTATAGTACTAAAGCTACAGTGACTCCTCCCTTCAGGATTCAGAAGTCTCCTAATTATTCTGTTTCTCTTGTGTTCGTTGACAAATTTAAGTAACTATGGTGTATCTGCATGTGCTATTGCAACAAGCTCAGGCTTAGTTGACTACAATTCATATGTTGTGAATTAGACACCCTGCTTGTAGAGAGGAAGTGACAAAAGCCTGATGAAATCTGAGGAGAAGTCGGCAGGTTATTTCTCCGGCGGTGGAATGTCAGTTTATGAGACGAGGCATGAAATGGATTATAAAAATGTCCCTCTGAAACTGGAATGCCTCCACATGTAGGGAAACCTATATTTAGCCCTGGATTTACCACATATGACTCTTATATATATTATTTAATCCAGAAATGGGATTTAATTCTGTGGTGTCCAAAATCTGCATTGATGGGGGAGGAAAACGTAATGGAATGTTGCCTAATCCGTCCTGGATTATAAATCAATAATGGATTATGGAAATTCATTGGGAATTTCACGTCTGTTCACCCATGTCAGATGGATTCAAGGGCACAATGTTTTCCTCGGCCTGATGAATCTGTGAGCCGTATCCCAAACACTTTGTTGTTTTCTGGATGCCATTTTGTTCTGTAGTTCACATCTTCCTGTCAGGACTTATGGGAATTTCCTGTCAGTGCGCAGCTGTGCATGTTGACACCATGTGGGTCCCATGTGGAGGTCTGTACAGTAAAATGAGGCTGTTGTACGGACAGTTAAATATATGGTTTGTCATCTGGAAAACATGAATCACCTTTTAGACCTCCTCACTGTTCCGGGGGAAGAAACCTGCGAGTGCAGCTGCTTTTATGTTAGCCCTTTAGTCACGTAAGGAATAAATACTCTTTTGTTAAAACCTCATTTTATTGTCAGACAAAACATAAACTTTGGTGATTACAATCTGCTAAAAATATCTGGTAGCTTCAGCACATAGCTGTGCTTGACCCTGGCTGTCACATGGCCACAGTTGCACTTCTCTGCAGGTGATGATTTAACAGGTGACTGAATGAAAACCTGAGTGGCTGCGAGGACTGAAAAGGCTTGTTTTTGATAACAGCACAGATAGAGGAACATTGGACTCTGAGGAACTAGATACTTGTGTGGTGGTGCGGGGAGCATTACTGTAGTTCTGTGTTATCACTTCCCCTTCAGTCACCTGTCTCACCAAGGTGTGACAAACAAGGTGCAGACAAATAAGTGAAAGGGAGATATGATGTAACACAACAAACAGTATATGACTCCAATCTATTATGTTTGTTGCCGTCTGTGCTCATGTGATAATTTGCTAGATGTATGAAACATAATTAGATCAACAGAAGACCAGATATTTGATGAAAAGATTGCCTTATTTTGCCAACATATAGTTGTCTCAAGATCTTTCAATCACATTTTACAAATCTCATACTGTATCTGTATAATAAACACAAAGTTACAGCTAGCCATAAAGTGTAAACCCAAGGAGAATGAGTCAGACTCTTTCAATTTAAAGATTATTAAATACCCGCACCTCTACAGCTCACTAATTATCACTGTTATATATCTTGTTTGTTTGGTCCGTACAAAAAGCTTTACCTGAAGTTCCTGGAGTCTTCATTTTTAATCTGACAGCTACTACAAGAGATAACTCCCCTGTAAAATGGCAAATTATTATTTTCACACATGAACTTTCGCTGCATATTTCCCAGCACTCTCCGACAGCTGAACATGACGTCCACATTAATGCACCGTTTGCATCATATGAACAGCAGCTGTATTACAGGCTGCTGCGAATGCCTGACGCTTCTGTAAGATGAAAACTCTCACAGCTCTTAATCGAATTCTTTGGTTCTCACAAGTTGTAATGCCAATTACAGAACCATTCCCTCTGGTCAGATGCTGCCGCTGCTGCACGGAAGCTCTGTGGAAGTTTGAGTGTTCTTCCCGAGGCAGAGTCGGGCTGAAAATATGAGGTCAGCTTGGCTTAGATAGATTACAAATTCATGCCAGACTTGAAAAGTATTAAAATGATGGTCAATTTGCTGGTTCCTCAATGTGAATTGAAGCTGCCAGCTCCTTTTGTCTCCCTGTATAAAACTACTATCTCTATAAGTGATTCCATCTACTCTAATTTGCCCTCTAAATGCCTGTAAATGGATGTGCTCTTTCTTTATTTGCAGTCAGAATATTAAAATTGATATACAGAGTTGGACATTCTACTTAGAGAATAGAATTCTTTTTTTTTAATCCTATAAGTACAATATTTGAACCATTTTCCAATGGATTACTCTTCGATTTTGATGAATAAAATCAGTCCCAGTGAGGAACCTGATATTCGAGTTTAATAATTTAATGGTTTCAGTCATTTTTAAAGTAAAAAGCCAAACATGTACTTACCTCCTGCTCTTTCATTGTTATGTTTTAATGCTTTCCTCTATTTTACATCACAGTTACTGATTTATGGTCTGAATTTGAAATGGTGATAGGCACAATTCTTTAGCATTTTGGAACGATAAATTGAGAATGTAATTGAGAAATCAATAGATGATGGAAATTACCATTAGTTGAAGCCATAATCTATTCTGTTGACATAAAGGCAACAAGAATATGGCCATACAAATCCAGATACCACAACTTTGAAGGGATCTAAACTTGAAAAACAAAAACTAGCTTGACAAGAAGTGTGAGAAAACTGTGCAAAATCAAGAATTTGGTCACTGTGCACATCAGTTAAAAGCACAGACAAACAAAGGACATAAAAAAAGAATTGTAATCATCCAGAGTTTGACACTAACTCACACACATTTACCAGCATTAGAAAGTAGGTGTGGAATAAAAGTAAAAACATCTCTCAGGATGAACAACGTCTCAGTAGCAGGAGACGTTGTGGTTGGACCTTAATTTGAGGACATTTGTGTAAGAGCCTGTAGGCGCAGATAAATCATTCTTTTTGGATTCACTTAAGAAGCTTACTGCCAACTGGATGAATGGAGGGGGGAGGGGAACCTGCAAGCAAGTGATTTTTTTCTTTAATCTTCATGAATATTTCAAATCAGTTATTTTAAGTCTTGCGAGCACCACGTTTGACTGACAAAATTTAAATGTGAACTGAGTTGCCACGCAGTTTTCTCTGAGTCATTCAGGCAAAGAAAGCTTCTCTTTTCTTTGGGGAAACCAAGGACACACCCTTTTACTGAAGGTTTGAAGGTAAAAATAAAATGCTGCTGCTTGGATGCAGATGCTGCAATGTGATGCCATGCTCTTCTTTCCTTCTGCTTCTTCACCTCTGGACCTCTCTCCTGCACATGCCTGTGTGTTGGATCCAGCGGAGCGGTGTGGCATCAGCCCTGTGCTTCAAAACGTGTTAACGTTAAGCTCAAGGTCAACAGCAGCGCAGGCGGAGGTCATTCATTTATCCAGTGTGGACGACTCTCACTCCTACACTGCAAGACACATGAACAAATGTTCATACATACAAGATGATACACACAAGTAGCTCATAGCAGAACATGAACATGACAAACAAGGAAATAATCAGCTCTGTAACTGACATAGGGAGAGATTCACTTGCTTTAGACTACATTTTCTTTTCTTTTTGCAAAATCTCATTTTTGAACTGTCAAATAACACAACATGTGATAACCGTATTAAATCTCAGCTATTGTTTTCCACTGCTGGAAGTCATCTCTCTGCAAAATCTTTCTCTAATTGTTTTCGCTTTGCCGTTTATGCTTTGTTGTTTTATTTTCCATAAATTTTGTATGCGGCCTGCTCTTTGTCCCACTACTCTCTGTGCTGCACCAACATGCTCAGCTGCTTCTGGCTACAAGATCACTTTATTTCTGATTAGATTTAGAGACTGTTTTTATCAGCACTCTGCAAGGAAAAAAAAAAAGTTTTTGAACAGTTTATTAAAAACATGTGAAGATGTTTAAATACTTGAGGCTGGTTGATATCTCAGTAACAGATTTGTCTTGCTAAATTATGTAATTCCAATTGAACTGTAATGAAACCTGACAGGAAGAGGTATTTCTGGTTTATATTGTAGTATGAAGTATTTTGGGTGTACTCTTGCTGTAATGTGATTTATATCAACCAAATAAATGTTATTATTAGGGCTACAAGTGGCTATAATTTAAACTATGAACTAAAAAGACTTGAGAAGTAAACTTACTGGTGAC